TTTGTTGCTCAGTTCAGTCACTCGGTCATGTCCGACTCTTTGCGACCCCATGGACTGCGCATGCCAGGCTTCCCTGTCCATCACCAACTCCTGGAGCTTGCTCAGACTCAAAGTCAGTGATGCCATCCAACCATCTCATCCTCTGTCATCCCCTTCTCCTGCCTTCAGTCTTGTCCAGCATCAGGATCTTTTCCAGTGAGTCAGTTCTTCACATCAGATGGCCAAAGTATTGGAGCTTCAGCTTCAGCATCAGTCCTTCCGATGAATATTCAGGGCCAATTTCCTTTAGGATGGACCAGTTTCATCTCCTTGCAGTCCAAGGGACTCTCAAGAGTCTACTCTAACACCACAGTTCAAAAGCATCAATTCCTCAGCACTCAGCTTTCTTTATAGTTCAACTCTCATATCCATACATGACTACTGGAAAAACCATAGCTTTGACTAGATGGACCTTTGTCAGCAAAGTAGTATCTTTCTTTTAAATATGATGTCTAGTTTGGTCATAGCTTTTCTTCCAAGGAGCAAGCATCTTTTAATTTCATGGCTGCAGTCACCATCTGCAGTGATTTTGGAGCCCAAGAAAATAGTCTTACGGTTTCCATTGTTTCCCTATCTATTTGTGATGAGTGATGGGACTGGATGCCATGATCTTGGTTTTTTGAGTGTTGAGTTTTAAGCCAGCTTTTTCAGTCTCCTCTGTCACTTTCATCAAGAGGCTCTTTCATTCCTCCTCTCTTTCTGCCGTAAGGGTGGTGTCATCTGAGTATATCAAAGGATAGAGATGTCTCCCAAAAAAACCGAGACCAGCTTGTGCCTCATTCAGCCTGGCATTTCGCATGATGTACTCTGCTTGTAAGTTAAATAAACAAGATGACAATATATAGCCTTGACATACTCCTTTCCCAATTTGGAACCAGTCCGTTGTTTCATGTCCAGCTCTAACTGTTGCTTTTTGACCTTCATAGAGATTTCTCGTGACGCAGGTAGGGTGGTCTGGTATTCCGATCCCTTGAAGAATTTTCCACAGTTTGTCAAGATCCACACAGTCAAAGGCTTTGCCGTAGTCAGTAAAGCAGGAGTAGATGTTTTTCTGGAACTCTTTTGCTTTTTCTATAATCCAATGGATGTTGGCAATTTGATCTCTGATTCCTCTGCCTTTTCTAAAACCAGCTCGAACATCTGGAAGTTCATGATTCACAAACTGTTTGAAGCCTGGCCTGGAGAATTTTGAGCATCACTTTGCTAGCGTGTAGGATGAGTGCAATTGTACCTTGAACGTTCTTTGGCATTGCCTTTCTTTGGGATTGGGATGAAAACACAGATTTCAGAATTCTTGGCCTGCTGAACTGTGAGAAAATAAGGTTCTATTGTCCTAAGCCAGCACGTTTATTGTGCAGCAGCTATAGAAAACAAATACAGACTTTGGTATCAGGAAGGTGGGTACTGCTGTAATAAATACCTAAAAAATGTGAAATAGGCTTTGAAATTAGATGATGGGCAGATCCTGGAAAAATTGTGAGGTACATAATAGACTGTTGAATTTTGAGGCATGTATGCAGACCGTCAATAGAATTATGGACATTAAAGTACCTGCTGGTGAAAATTCAGAAGAAAGTAGAAAGCATGGTCAGAGAAAAGTGATATCATCTTGGAAAATACATAAATGTTCATTAATGGAATGTTGCTAGAAATGTGAGTGTTAAAGGTACTGCTGGCAAAGTCTCAGAAGGAAATGAGAAACATTATTGGAAATTGGAGGAAAGGGAATCTTGGCAATATAGTGGCAGAAAGCTTAGCTGAATTGTGTTCTACTGTTATGTGGAAAGCAGAATTTGTAAGTGATGAACTTGGGTATTTAGCTGAGGAGTTTTCTAAGCAAAGTGTTGAAGGTTTGGTCTAGTTTCTTCTGGTTGCTTATAGAAACTTAGCAACCGAACAACAACCTGGAAAAATGTGAAGGAAAAGAGATTGAGGGAAGGTACCATTAAGTCCAAAGAAACTAGATTTAGAAAATTCTCAGCCTACCCAGATTTCAAAAGTTGCTAAAATTAGGCAATTTGCTATTGGGAGTATGCTTGAGAGAGTGGGCCAAGAGTGTGGCTGAACAACCTTTGCTGGTGCTGAAGAGCTTGGGTGTGTGGCTCACGGATCCTCTCGGTCACCTCAACAGTCACCAAGGAAGGAGGTGAGACACGCAGGGAAGACCTGTGGCGGACCCTCTTATCTCATGGCATAAATGCCCATAACAGACGTTGGAGACTCACAAGGGTTTTGAAAATGTTCTTGTTGTGACTTAGTTGCTAAGTCATCTCCGACTCTCTGCGACCCCGTGGACTGTAGCCCACCAGGCTCCTCTGTCTCTGGAATTTCCCAGGCAAGAGTATTAGAGAGGATTTGCCATTTCCTCCTCCCTAGGATCTTCCTGACCGAAGGATCGGGCCCATGGCTCCAGCACTGGCAGGCAGATTCTTTACTGCTGAACCACTGGGGAAGCCCCTAAATACTGTCAGCTTGGCCTGAAGGGGTCAAGTTTGTGGTAATTTGTTACAATAGCCATAGAAAACTAGAAGCTAGCATTTTAAAAAATACTGTGCCAGCGCTTTGCCTGCTTCATATGTATTGTCTCATTGAACTTAACAGACTATTGACTAGGGGATTGTTGAAGAAACTAACACCTATGGCATTAATACATTTCTGTTCATTCATATGATAACATTAAGACTGTAATGTAGCTCTATTGGTATCTCTACTTTTATTACAGATTTTTTAATCTGACAATCAGGAACTTATTTCCTCACTGTTTAATAAACATTAATTTCATGTTCTTGTTATCTCCATTTTATAGTTCACTAACTCTCCCTCTTTACCTCAAGAAGGGACCCCAGACCCTTTTCCTTTTTCTAATCAGTGCGTATTTTTTTGTGGCCCATAATGCATCGAGGTGAATGTAATTCTGTGATGCTTTTTGTAACCTAGGTTTATATACAGAGTTCTTCAGGGATCCCTCTTTCCATCTCCAATTCTGAGGGCGAAACACTTGGACAGACTGCCCGCAGAGGAGAGGACTGAAGCTCTCAAGAGGTGGAGAGGGGCTGGGCAGATGGATCAGTTGACGTCTAAGTGTGCTGACAATCAGCTGTAGCGGCAGAGAGAATACCCACATATGAACCATCTGCTGTCTTTGCAGTGATGTCGGCAACTGCTTGTGCTGTCGAGAAAGGAAACTTACCTGTATGTGAAACTGCTTTAGACTCAGATTTCTCTGAAACTAAGGCCTCGGGGATGGCTGGACCCTCAAAGGATTAAAAAAAGCAGGATATCTTCCTTGGAGATGCCAGTATTCCAGCAAGTTTGGGAAAGCAACTTTGAAGAGGCTCCTTTGCCAAAGCTGCATGACTTGATTTTTCCTTAAGGGACAAGAACATTTTACTGGGCCTGGACAAGCCGATGTGATGACCTTTACTGTATGTTTATGGATCCATGTGTAACAGACATTAGAATTTGACCTGGACAGAGTTTAGAGAAGTGAAATATTTAATTCAGAATCAAATGCTTTCATGAAACTTTTTGGATTTTGTGGAAGCATTTTAGTTGTTCTATAAATGCAAATATTTTCAAGAGGATTCATTTGAGACATATATTTATTTGACTCTGGTCATTTCAGTGTTCTCCTGAGGTGGAGTGTTCCTGAGAAAGGGGTGGCGGGGATGCCAGGGGTCCACAGAGGTGCCTTCCTCTCTCAGCTTCTGGTCAAAAGAAGACTTTTTATGAGGTCTGCCTCTGTGTACGTGCTGTCTGCGAGGCGATAGAGGCCACAGGTAAGGAAAATGGGCTCAGTTGGGTCTAGGCCCCCTTGGCAGTTTCCTGAATTCTAAAACTGCCAGTAGCCTGGTCAAAATGAGACAATCAAAACATTCTTCAGGAGGTCGTTTGAGGGTTTATCGTCTTTACAATACCCTATAACTTTTCTGGTATGCAAATACTTTCAAGCTCTTTTCAACCTCTAAAAGTGAGATATTATAAACTTATACTGATACAGGTGATTCTCAGGAGAATTCTATGAGGTTCTTAGATTTGCTTTTAATTACATTTAGGACAAGAAAGTCTATATCAAGTCCATTGCTGTTGCAAATCATGTATGCTGGCTTTAATTGGAACAAGGAAACTAGTTTCTACCGTAACTGCCAGGTATTATTATAAGATCACGTATTCTTGTTGAGTTCTTTTAAAATTCTGTATCCATTCATCTGAAAATTGTCAGCCAACCCAGAACTTCCTTCATGAAATGTCCATGCTAATGTTCTATGTCTGTATCAAGCTTTTATTAATGACTATTTAGCTGTTGTTCTCAGGGCTTAATTTTCTACCTGTTGCCTACTGTCCTGGACTGATATTTTCTGTAGCCTTCTAATATTATTGCAAATGGTCTTTTATACAGACTGATTTCTAGAATATCCAAAACCCCATATGGCTAATGGAGGTAGCTATCTGCTTTCTTATGATTTTTTAAAAATAAACTTTTTCATAAATAACATATATTAAAAGCTGTCATAACTCTGATACTCATCAAATGCAATAGTAATTGGTACCAGAACTGAGAAGGAAAATCCCAAAGCAATACCTTTAAAGAATATTGTTTGACCTATCCTTATATGGAAAAGTCAGTGATGTCATATCATCTATTATCGTCATAGCAACTAGCATTTATTCCTTGAGATCATCATCTTTTGATAAATACAAATTTAGAGATATATTCACTTAAAAAAGATTAGAATCTAAGGAATGAGTTCAAAAGACTAAAAAAAAGCCAGTCTCTCTGATATAAATTATCTGTGTACAGCAGTTCATGTTATGCGTCTACAACTTCTTGTCTATGATTCAGCAATCCCAGGAACTCTGAAAACTGAACAAGTTTTCATAAATTAAGCACAAATACAATGTCTTAAACAGATACAAGACTATTTATTTAATATAGTTATTCATATATTTTGCCACAAAAATATTAATAATTTTATTACTGTGCTACTAAACATTTTAATATTATGCTTTTTAAATTTTTTAAAATTCTGGATTCTGAGACACATGTGGTCCTCAGGAGGAGATTTGGGGTCAATATAAAGCCTTTAAAGATTCTCATTTCCAAGTGAATAACTCTTATGCAAAGTTTCCTAAGCTGATGTTCCAGCACTTTTGGTAGGTATTCAGCATATTTTACCAAATTTGGGGGAGCCCAATTTGCTTCTAGTAGCCAAGAAAAATGAGCAGTATATACTTGTGATATAATTTTTACCCCAAAAGATTTATAAAGGAATTGGATTAGATTCCTAAAATGTGTTCTAGAAGACAAAAATCCTTATCCTCTTACCAGGGCTAAAGTTTTCCTTGGACAATCAATGGGTGATAAGAAGATTATCAGCAAACTCTCCTTTCAGACTAATCAAAGAGTAGTGGCATTTAAAAGAGTATATTCCCGGGGGAGTGAGATATAAGACAAGTGAATTTTGATTGGTTGGAAACTGAGTGCCAACTATAATAGTGGGGAACATTTTCTGGGGCTTGCTCCTTGTTTTACATCCATTAAAGAAAATTATATCATTTTATCTGTATTAAAGGGTTAGCTACAATATATACATTTCACTGAACATAAGTTGAGCATAAGTTTCCATTATATAACAAAACTGATGTATGTTCTTAAACTTTCATACAGTTGTGACCATAATTGAGTTGCTGGATTTTACATTCTCAATAGGTTTATACAAACTACAGAACAAGAGATGAGTCACATGGAAAGTGTCAAGACAGCTCTGCGAATGTCACCTATGCAGACACACAGAGGAAGTAACCTGCAGGTGGTCTCTGAGGGCGCTGGGGCAGCCCAGGCTGTGCAGGAAATCCTTCGTTGTTGCTCAGGTGCTCAGTCGTGTCCAACTCTCTGAGACCCCGTGGACTGTAGCCCGCCAGGCGCCTCTGTCCATGGGATTTCCCAGGCAAGAACACTGGAGTGGGTTGCCATTTCATTCTCCAGAGGATCTTTCCAACCTGGGGAATGAACCTGTGTCTCCTGCATTGGCAGGAAGATTCTTTACTGCTGAGCTACCAGGGAAGCCCATAAATTAAATTAGATACATGTGAAGATTTGTGTTTTGAAGGTTTTTAGTGAGAAAAAAATACTTTAATCACCAATTACTTTATAAACTGACCTGTGCATCATGACATAGAACTTAAAAGCATATTTAATTTTTTGTTTTAATTATCATCAGTGGGAAGAAATGGCAACACCAGCTATTAAATATCTTTTAAGAAAAATTACAAAATGTTTTTCTTCATGCAAAAAGTTTTACTGTGCCTTGAAATACATCTCTGTGACCTTATTGGTATGGATGAACAGAGAAAAACTGGAAAATAATTAGGTGTGAGAGAAATTTAATTTCCTTAAAAAATTGCATCTCTCCACTCTAAAGCAAGTCCTCCTTTAGCAAAGTTTAACCTCAACTTCATTGTCACAAAGACAGAAAGAAATTTTTCCCACAAATAGTTTCCCAGTTGCCAAAATCTCAGTTGGCTAACTGATACAGAGTGAACAAACCCCAACTCTGGGAAGGGTCTATGGAGACTTTCCTATGCAATTACAGCCTGGATTTAAATTCCAAATGGGCAGTCTTTTCATATCAAGTGCTAATATTGATGTGGAAAGAACTCTGTGGTCAATGAAATTTGCTCTTTCAGCTACCTAAATGGATGCTGTCTTTCATAAGTTCTCAGAATTATGCAGACTTTAGAATAATAATGAATAACTTAAGCATGTAAATTATCTTGGTTTTTCATAAATCAAAAGCAAGCCTCTGATGTTGTTACTGAAATTTGCCACTATGCTCTTGTGCTGGAGAAATTTTCATTTTTCTGGCAAAGATTCATTAGCCTGGACCTCCATGTCCTTTTGTGACTGGACAAGAGGGGACTTTCTCCAACCTGTTACCCTGGTGCCTACACTCTTCTCTTTCCCACGTTGACCATTCATTTCACTTTACAGTTGAGGTTAGGCCTGCCTGGCCAAAGAACGAGCTCTATTTTGCTTTGGTTTTTAAAAGACTTTCATTCAACTTGAAATAAGAGAAAAACAGAACTGGAAAAAAAAAAGCTGTATAAAATGCGACTGAGACAAACATGAACCCATGCAGTGACTGCGGAGCGTCCCTGCCTGTGAGACGTGCTTCTGTACAGCTCTCTGCAGGGCGTCTGCCACTGTCGAAAAGGCCATTTTCTTTGAAGGTTGCTGGCAAAAGTCTCTGATCATCTTTGGAATTAGTTTAGGAGAAAGGTATGGATGTATATTTGTCTTTCAATCCATTTGACAAAGTATGTCACGTTGCTGTAAACTCCAGGCCCCAGGACTTTGGAAAAGCAGACGGAGCCCCATGAAGTTAAGCCAAATAATGTCCACTGTCCTCCCGGCTTCTCACAAACTAGAGGCCCACCACTGTCACCCTGTAAGGAAGAGCAGTGGATGTTAGTCACTGGTATTTCAGAGCCCTCATGTGTCCATGCTATCCTGAGGGTAAAATAAAGCCAAACCCAGCTTAACCAATGTCCTGAAAAATTTCAACAAAGGTCTCATTGTCAATGTGTGAAGGGAACACACTTTCCCCTACATAAACAGAACTTTCAAATGAACATTTTAAATCTTGATCTTTTAAAGAATAGAGGTGGCTTGGGAAAGGACTATATTCTTTTTTTTTCTGTGAAATCAGACATTTTGTCATTTCTTACATTTAATCAAAATATATCAAACTTTTTTTTAATTAAAAAAAAATTCATATCAGGACTGAGTCCCTAACTGATCTCATTCTTTTAATTTTGATCCAGTTTATAAATGTAGAACATGTTCAAGGATAGTTTTCTCACAAAAAATAGTGCTAGAAAAATCTAAAAATAAGTCATTACTTTCAGGATTCTTGCTGTGTGAATAAATATATTAAGTAAAACACATTCAGGGTAAGAAAAACTTAACTATTTACTGTATTTAATAGAATTAGCATGCTTAAATAGAAAATACCACATAAGAATTACAGTAAAACTTATTATAATGCATACATAGAGATTCATTTGCATAGCGACTTTCATTCTTAATATTTAAGTTTAGGTATTAGTTAAGTTTTGTTCAGTTTTCTTTGTCCACATATAATTAAGACACTATGGCTTTAAAAATGCTAATATTTGCTACATCTGAAAAGATGAGAATATGAGAGATGTGTTCTGCATGTCCTCAAAAGAGAAGGATAGCTACTCTAGAAAATAAGTATGTGGACTCATGACGTATTACAAAACACTCCTTGCTCGGCAAGGATTTCAAGCTTGGACGTGTTCTACAGCCCTCCCACTCGGTAATGTTGGGAAGTAGAGATCATGTTTATTGATGCTCTCCTAGACACCTTCCCTGTGTTAGTTTATTTAATTCTCATGAAATAACTACAGGTTAGTAACCCTTGGACTGCAAGGAGATCCAACCAGTCGATCCCAAAGGAGATCAGTCCTGGGTGTTCATTGGAAGGACTGATGCTGAAGCTGAAACTCCAATACTTTGGCCACCTCATGTGAAGAGTTGACTCACTGGAAAAGACCCTGATGATGGGAGGGATTGGGGGCAGGAGGAGAAGGGGACGACAGAGGATGAGATGGCTGGTTGGCATCACCGACTCGATGGACGTGAGTTTGAGTAAACTCTGGGAGTTGGTGATGGACAGGGAGGCCTGGCGTGCTGCCGTTCATGGGGTCGCAGTCAGACACGACTGAGTGACTGAACTGAACTGAATAATTATTGTAACAATAATTATTTACATGTTACTACTTATATAAATATAGACATTTAAATAAATAATAGTTATATCTAATTTATTCCTCCCTGCTTTGGTAACTATGTTTGTTTTCTATGTCTGTGAATCTGTTTCTGTTGTATATATAGATTCATTTGTACTATTTTTTTCAGTTCAGTTCAGTTGCTAAGTCATGTCCGACTCTTTGCAACCCCCATGGATTACAGCACACCAGGCTTCCCTATCCATCACCAACTCCCGGAGCCTACTCAAACTCATGCCCATCGGTGATGCCATCCAGCCATCTCACCCTCTGTCGTCCCCTTCTCCTCCTGCCCCCAATCCTTCCCAGCATCAGGGTCTTTCCCGGCATTGGGGCCTTTCCCCGGCATCCGGGTCTTTCCCAGCATCCGGGCCTTCCCCAGCATCTGGACCTTTCCCACAGAGTCCGCTTGTCACATCAGGTGCCACTAGCTTATTTCTGCTTCTATTTCTTTCGCTTTGGGCAGCTGATCTAAAACTATTGCTACAATTTATATCAAAGAATGTTTTGCCTCTGTAATCTTCTAGCAGTTTTATGGCATGCCTTACATTTAGGTTTTAAAACTGATTTAATTTTGTATAATTATAATAATTATGTATAATTTTTGTTGTAATATCATTAATTTACTTGTAGCTGTCCAGCTTTCCCAACACCACTTATTGAAGAGATTGTATTCTTGCCTCAGAGATTGGCCATAAATATGTGGGTTTATTTTTGGCCTCTGTCCTGTTCCCCTGATCCGTATGTCTGTCACCATGCTATTTTGATTACTGATCCGTATGTCTGTCACCATGCTATTTTGATTACTGTAGCTTTGTAGTATAATCTGGAACGAGTATGTCTCCAAGTTTTGTTCTTTTTTCTCAGAGTTGCTTTGGCAATTCTGGATCCTCTGTAATTCCACATATATTTGAGAATTATTTGTTCTAGTTCTGTTAAAAAAAAAAATGTCATGAGTATTTTGACAGTTCAGTCGCTCAGTCATGTCCAACTCTTTGCGACCCCCATGGACTGTAGCACGCCAGGCCTCCCTGTCCAGCACCAGCTCCCAGAGTTTACTCAAACTCAGGTCCATTGAGTCGGTGATGCCATCCAACCATCTCTTCCTCTGTCGTCCACTTCTCCTCTCTCCTTCAATCTTTCCCAGTATCAGGGTCTTTTCAAATGAGTCAGTTCTTCACTGATCAGGATTTTTTAACAGGGATTGCATTAAATCTGTAGATTGCTTTGGGTGGTATGACTGTTTTTACAATACTAATTCTTTCAATCCTAGAGCATTGGATATCTTTACATTTCTTTGAATCATCTTCAGTTTTCAGTTCATAGGGGTTTTCACCTCCTTGGTTAAGTTTATTCTTAGGTATTTTTTAACGTGATTTTAAAAACGATTTTTTTTTCAATTTTTTTCTTTCTGATATTTCATTTAGTATAAAGAAATGCAATAGCTTTCTGTATGTGAATCTTGTATTCTGTTACCTTCCTGAATTCACTTATTAGTTCTAATAGTTTCTGTGTGGAGATTTTAGGATTCTCTATATAGAGTATCATATAATCTGCAAATAATGACAGTTTTCTTTCCCTTCAAGGTTTTCAGTTTTCCACCATTGGGTATTATGCTGGCTGTAAGTCTGTCACAAATGGCTTTTATTATGTTGAGATATAGTCCCTCTATACCCACTTTGTGGTGTGAACATTAGCAAATTGAAGAATAAAAACCATATTATCATCTTGATAAATGTAGAAAAAGCTTTGGACAAAACTCCATACCCATCTTTAAAAAGTGGCCATAGAGGGAACATAACTCAGCATAATAAAGGCATATATGGGCTTCCCTGGTAGCTTAGCTGGTAAAGAATCTGCCTGCAATGCAGGAGACGCTGGTTCAATTCCTGGGTCAGGAAGATCCCCCGGAGGAGGGATGGGCTGCCCGCTCCAGTAATCTTGGGCTTCCCTGCTGGCTCAGTCGGTAGAGAATCTATCTGCAATGTGGGATACCTGGGTTGGGAAAATTCCCCTGGAGGAGGACATGGCAACCCACTCCAGCATTCTTGCCTGAGAATCCCCATGGACAGAGGAGCCTGGCAGGCTACAGTCTGTGGGGTCACAGAGAGTCAGACATGACTCAGCACAGCACAGCATGGGACAAACCCACAGCTAAACATCACACCCAGTGATGAAGAGCTGAAAGCATCTCCTCTAAAATTAGGTACAAGACAAAGATGTCTTCTCTTGCGACCTCTACTGAACATAGTTTTGAGAGTCCCAGCAATAGCAACAGAGAAGAAAAAGAATAGTAATCCAAATTATGAAAAGTAAAATTGTCCCTATTTGCAGATGACATGATAACTATATGTAGAAAATCCTAAACATGCTACAAGAAAACTATTAGAACTCATCAATGAATTTGGTACAGTTGCAGGATACAAAATTAATACACAAATATGTTGAATTTCTAGACACTAACAATGTAAGATCAGAAAGAGAAATTAAGGAAACAATCCGATTTACTGTTTCATCAAAAAAGTAAAATACCTTGGAATAAACATAGCTAAGGAGACAAGAGACCTCTACTCAGTTTACTAAGATACTGATACAACAAATTGAAGAACACACAAATAAATGGAAAGATATACCTATCATGTTCATGGATTAGAAGAATCAGTATTGTCCAAATGACTATATTACCCAAGGCAATCTACAGATTCAATGCAATCCCTATCAAATTACTATGTCATTTTTTGCAGATCTAGAACAAAAAAATCTTATAACTTGTATGGAAACACAAAAGATCCCAAATAACCAAAGCAAGCTTGAGAAAGAAAGAAAAGCTGAGAAATCAGGCTCTGTTACTTAAGAATATATTGTAAAGCTACAGTAATCAAAGCAGTATGATACAGGCCCAAAGGCAGGCTTATAGATCAATGGAACAGGATAGAAAGCCTAGAAATAAATCCACATAACTATGGTCAATTAATATGACAAGGAAAGCAAGAATATACAATGGAGAAAAGACAGACTCTTCTTCAGTAAGTGGTGCTAGGAAAATTGGAGAGCTACATGTAAAATAATGAAATTAAAATACTTCCTAACACTATGCACAAAAATAAACTCAAAATGAATTAAAGACCTAAATGTAAGACTGGATATTACAAAACTCTTAGAGGAAAACATAGGCAGAACACTCTTTGATATAAACCACAGCAAGATCATTTTCAATCCACCTCCTATAGTAATGAAGATAAAAACCATAACCAAATGAGATTTAATTAAATTTAAAAGCTTTTGCACAGCAAAGGAAACCACCAAAACAAAAAGACAACTAACAAAACAGGAGAAAATATTTGCAAACAATACAACTGACAAGGGATTAATCTCCAAAATATACAAACGGCCCATGAAGCTCAATATCAAAACATCAAACAACCCAAACAAAAATGGGCAGGAGAGAAACATTTCTCTAAAGAAGACATACAAATGACCAAAAATAACATGAAAAGATATTCAACATTGCTAATTATTAGACAAATGGAAATCAAAACTACACTGTAGTATCAACTCAGACTAGTCCGAAGAGCCATCATCAAAGTCTACAAACAATAAATGCTAAGGAGGGTGTGGAGAAAAGGAAACACTTCCTATACTGTAGGCGGGAATATAAACTGGTGCAATCACTATGGAGAGCAGTACAGAAGTTCCTTAAAAACTAAAAGTGGAGTTACCATGTGATCAGCAACTCCTGGACATATATCTGGGAAAAAACCCCCACAATTCAAAAAGATACATGCACCCCAATATTCATTGCAGCTCTATTTACAATAGCCAAAACATGGAAGCAATCTAACTGCCCCCAGACAGATGGGTAAAGAAAATATACTACATATATATGATGAAATGTTATTCAGCCATTAAAAAGAATGAAATAAAGCCATTTGCAGCATCATGGATGGACCTGGAGATTATCGCACTAATTATGTCAGAGAAAGCCAAATATCACATCACTTATATTTGGAATCTAAAAAGATGATATAAATGAACTTATTTCCCTTTCAAAGGGCTGACTAAATTGTTCTGTGTGAAAGCCTGTTTGATTTTTAAGCAAAATTTACTGGAAACATTTTGATTAGACATATTCCAGTTTTTTCATCTCCTCTTATATAAAAGAATTAAGATACTGATTTATGCTGTGCTACACAACCTAGTAACTAAACCACCACCACCACTTATTTATGCTAGTTATTAAAATAGGATATGTTTACCGCATCCCTACCTTTCCAGATCAGAAACTTAGCCACATAATAATTTAGAATCTATTTTTTGGAGGATTCTGTGCTAAAGTCTACACAAGTAAGGAACTATTTTTACCCTAAAGGGGCCAAAAGTCCACTTGGATAATGAGAAAAACTTTACATGAAAGCAAAATTTAAGGGCTATAAATAAAGGAGTCTTCAAAAGAATGAGCGATTGCTTCCAGCTGGAGGGGAACATAGGATCCCCTTAAGAGTAGATTTTGAGCTAAGCTTAGTGAGATGGGTGGACATGTTAGCTGGAAAACAAGTGAAGCAGCAGCAATTCAAAATGAAAGGATACAGATAAAGGCACAATTGGGTCCTCTTTGCCTCTTCATAATATTGGACTTCAGGCCAAAGTTTGTTTGGTTGCAATATTGAGTCCCATGATTTCTAGACCATAACAGAGGACCATGGCCTCCAAGGTGTCCTACTGATGCACTTAAGGAAGATAGTGAGAGGCTCTGATGAATAATTTTGCTCTAGACTTGGTAAAAAGAAGTAGCCTTTTGTCTCTCTTCTTTTCTACCTGGGGTTTTGTTAGAGAGCATCTGGTATGTGTTTAAGATGCTCACAGTGTGGAACTTCCACCACTAAAGAAGTTGACAGGACCCAATTCTTATTAGACATTATTATATGAGCATGACTACACCCATGTCTATGTTGGGCCTTAATTTCTCTTTCAAGAATCAACCTTCCATCCCTTCCCTTTAGCAGTTACCATTTCATTATACACTTGAGGTTAGGCCTGCCTGGCAAAAGAACAAACTTTGTTTTGCTTTGATTTTTAAAAGACTTTCATTCATTCAACTTGATTCATTCAAGTCATTCAACTTGAAGTAAGAGAAAAATAGAATTGAAAAAAAAGCTGCGTAAAATTAGGCTGAGACAAACTTGAAGACTTGCAGTGCACTGTGGAGCATCCTGTCTATGCAAAGCGCTTAGAGAGCTGTCCTGAGGCACTAGTTGTTGGGGAACGTCCAGTTCGTATTGGCAACACAGAGAAATGTGTTCACACTAATCCTTGTTTCTAGGATAGTTAGTGGCCAAGCACTTGAATTCTGAAGCCAGACTGCCTACACTCATAACTTCATTCTGCCGCCTTAGTACTGGGTGATATGGGGTAAATTACTTAACCTCTATGATCCCTTGTTTTCCACAAGTGATGATTGTGAGAATTCAGTGAGTTATTAAAAAGTATTTAGAAGAGATAATGGAAACATCTGATAACAAGTTATTTTCAAAAAATTTTCCCAAAGAGCCATACATGAATAATAATGAGATTATATGGACCCAGTGAACCTATTGCAGAATTGAATCTCTTTGGTAAGCACAGAGCAACTTACCATGCATGCGTCCACTGTGCCAGACTCATAGCCAGCACAGATCACCCGGCTGGTGATGGTCTTCATGTCAAAGTGGGACTGACACTGCTCCAGAGAAATTATGCGTACTTCCCCCTCTTGCAGCTTAAAAGGCACTGGGTTTTTTTTAAAAAGAGGAAGAAATAAAACATGAGGGTAAAATGACTCAAGAATAGGTTAATCATACAGGAAATCATTACATATCAAGAAAGCCATATTCCTAGAATGTTATTTCAAAGACAAAGCTTGTTTAGAATCAAAATTTTCCAATTAGAAGTGCTGATAGCAGTCATTCCATTAGTCAAACTCCTTCATTTTGTTAATGAGAAAATGGAGGCACAGACTGGTTAAGTAACCTGGCTCATGGTTTCCCTTTCATTTTTTACAAATGGGTTTTCTAATTTATTTTTTGTGTTTTGGTTGCACCACACAGCATGCAGGATGGATCCCCCACCAGATATGGAACCCAGGCCTCTGCAGTGTAAGCACTGAATCTTAACCACTAGCCCCACCAGGGAACTGCCTCCCTCTCTTATTACATGTGGCAACATAAACAATAGGTATTACAATTAAAATAATCAAGCCAGATCTCTGCCCTAGATGGGAGGCCGCCAGCTCTGTGACAGCTCAGCATGTGAGTCCATTCTGCTAAAGTTCAGATCGTCTGTTCAGAGTAACAGGGGAATGGTTGCCCCATCCTTGGTTTAAACAGTGTATCTCACCACATGCTACAGTAGCCATCATTAGATCAGAACCTTTAATCCTAGAAGATGTGTCAGAGTGATGTCCAAAGGGAAGAGCGTCCCTCAGTGTCAGCAGAGAGAATGTGTGAGCTCCACTTTGCCTGAAAGGTCTTGCCTGGGAAATCCCATGGTCGCAGGGCCTGGCAGGCTATAGTCTATAGAGTTACAAAGTCAAACACGACTTGGTGACTAGACAACAACCAAAGGTGGATAACAGGACACGGATCTGTACCTCATCCCTGAGAGCTACAGTACTCCACTGACATAGCTGGCATGGCCAGTGCTTACTATTAAAGAAAATATCAACTAAATTCTTATTCTAAACTTGTAATAGGTCAAACGAGAGTCCTTTACAGGCAGCTGAGAGCAGTGCAAATTTCTAAATTTCTGTATGTTCTCAGTGGTGAAGAGCAGAGTATTTCCTCTAAGATCAGGAACAAGACAAAGATGTCCATTTTTGCCACTATTATTCACCATAGTTTTGAAAGTCCTACCCACGGACTTTTGTCAGAGAAGACAATAGGAATCCACATTGGAAAAGAAGAAAAACTCACTGTTGGCAAGTGACATGATATTATACATAGAAACTCCTAAAGATGCTACCAGAAAACTACTAGAGCTAAGCAATGAATTTGGTAAAGGTACAGGATACAAAGTTAATACACAGAAATCTCTTGCCTTCCTATACACAAACAACAAAAGATCAGAAACAGAAATCAGGGAAGTGATCACATTTACCATCTCATCAAAAAGAATAAAATACCTAGGAATAAACCTACCTAAGGAGACAAAAGACATGTACTCAGAAAACTATAAGACAATAATGAAAGAAATCAAAGATGACACACACAGATGGAGAGATGCACCACATTCTTGGATTGGAAGAATCAATAGTCAAAATGACTATCCTACCCAAAGCAATCTAGATTCAATACAATCCCTATCAAGGCAGTGATGACTGATCTTGCATGTCAGCTCCAAGCATCTGTAGGGGCTCCCTGGAGAAATGAGGTATAGAGAGGGAGTTCAGAGGTTGCATTTGGGTTTGCAAGTTTAAGTGCATGATGAAGTATTGACTTCTACAATTTGCATGGAAGGGGGAGTGACACATATGCTATTTGTGACTCTATTATAAGTGAAAATGCCATATGACCCAGCAATCCCACTCCTGGGCATACACACTGAGGAACCAGATCCGAAAGAGACACGTGCACCCCAATGTTCATCGCAGCACTGTTTATAATAGCCAGGACATGGAAGCAACCTAGATGCCCATCAGCAGACAAATGGATAAGGAAGCTATGGTACATATACACCATGGAATATTACTCAGCCATTGAAAAGAATTCATTTGAATCAGTTCTAATAAGATGGATGAAACTGGAGCCCATTATACAGAGTGAAGTAAGCCAGAAAGATAAAGACCAATACAGTATACTAATGCATATATATATGGAATTTAGAAAGATGGTAATGATAACCCTATATGCAAAACAGAAAAAGAGACACAGATGTCCAGAACAGACTTTGGGACTCTGTGGGAGAAGGCAAGGGTGAGATGTTCTGAGAGAATAGCATTGAAACATGTATACTATCAAGGGTGAAACAGATCACCAGCCCAGGTTGGATGCATGAGACAAGTGCTCAGGGCTGTTGCACTGGGAAGACCCAGAGGGATGGGATGGGGAGGGAGGTGGGAGGGGGGATCGGGATGGGGAGCACATGTAAATCCATGGCTGATTCATGTCAATGTATGGCAAAAACCACTACAATATTGTAAAGTAATTAGCCTCCAACTAATAAAAATAAATGGGGAAAAAAATTGAAAATGGGAAATGACTACCAAAGGTTAGGAAGTACCCTAGTGTTTTCCAGTTAAAAGCTAAAAGGTAAGTGCTCCCAAGAATCCTGACTTACTTTTGTTGCCCATGTGTCCCCAGCCTGTGATATAGCAGTAAGTATCAGGTTCTAAGGACTGATCCGGGCTGGGTAAGCAGACGGGTCGGACGTAGCTTGTTTCATTGATGTCTTGGCTTAGCTCCACTATGCTGATGTCATAGTCCACCACCGCTCGACTGTAGCGAGGATGCAGGATGATGGTTTTCACAAGGCGCATCTGCATGAACGTTGATGGGTGGTCTAGGTTATTGATGCCAAACACCACTTTCCAAACGGCAGCATTCTCTCTCCTAAAATAATAATTCAAGAGCTATTGGCATCTTAAACTCAGATTTATCTTTTAAAATTTATATATGATTTTTAAATATCTTATTTTTTGTAAATAGTGGCTCTTTCTGTTAGGGCAAGCACACTGACTGAAACCGCCCACCCTGGCCAGGCCCTTTAGTAACCATTCGCATGAGTTGTTTTATGACAGGAGATCCTGGTAAGGAATACGGAACTAATAAGCCACCACCAACCGGAAGAGTTCGGGAAAGGTCGAGAGGAGACACCGCGTGTCCGTCCACTTCCCAGAATCCCTCTCGCTAGCGTCCATCTTGGCTGAGCGATGCGTGCGACACCAGGAAAGACTCTGAATTAGAATGATCGGCCAAAGACCACGGGAAACTAATCCCATCACCATAAAACCCGAGACTGCGAGCCATGTGGCGGAGCAGTTCTCCTGGGTTCCCTCACCCTCCTGCTCTCCGCCCGGGCGCCCTTTCCCAATAAAATCTCTCGCTTTGTCAGCACATGTGTCTCCTCGGACAATTCATTTCCGAGTGTTAGACAAGCTCCTGGGGCCCTGAAGGGGGGCCTCACCCTTCCTACAACATTTCCACTCCCATCTCTCGTGTATTCATATAAAAAGCATTTATATAACCCTTGAACAATTGGTAAATATCGTATTGTTGTAGAAAGCAAAGCTTGGGCTTGCTAGATGGTGCTGCTCTGGAAAATAACACTTGTTCACCATGAAAGGGAGACAGAGTAGTTACTTGCTTCACTGAGTGGGAAAGGTGATGAAAAGATGTGAAGAGGAGACAAGAGAAAAAAAAATAATTGAAGAGAATGAAAATCAGACGTTAAGTGATCCCGCCAAGCAGGAGCCAGTGCTTCAGAGAAATGTCAAGTTTTCAAGGAAGGCTTCTGAAAATTGCAAGCTAGCAACTTAAAAAAACGGTCACCCACAATTTATAATGGGTAGTCTCAGACGTCACTGTTTTTGAACACTTGACAGCAATAGTCTATGTAATTCCATTTCAAACACTTTCCCACTTGACTTCGAGGACTCCGCATGCTCCAGAATTCCCTCCTGTCTCTGGGACCGCTTCGCGGTTGCATCCTCCTGCTCTGCGCTCGATGTCTTCACGGGGTGACCCAGGGCTCCCCTTTAGTCTTCTCGTTCTTCACCCGCCCCTTTGAAGAGCTTACCTAGTCAGATGGCTATAAATGCCCCCCGAATGGCGTTTGTAACTTCAAATGTGTGTCTCCAGCTCCACCCTCCTTTGAGCTATAGAATTCATTCCACAGTTATTTGCTATTTACAGCCACCCATTATGCATACTGGATCACCTCTTAACACTGAACACATCAGCAAGTCCTACTCTCAAGTATATCCTGAGTCTGTTGACCCTTCTGCCGCCGCTCCAGTCCTAATCTAAGCTACTCACCTGTCCCAAACGGTGGCCCTTCTTTTACTCTTAACCCCTGTGACCCAGTCTCCTCACACAGAGTGACCTTTTTAAAAATAAAATTATGTAAAATTTGTTTCCTGTTCATAATTCTTTTCAGATTCTTTTCCATTATAGGTCATTAAAAGATATTGAATATAGTTTCACGTGCTATACAGTAGGTCCTTGTATAGTCAGTATTTGAAAATAATAGAATATAGCCTTTAAAAATTATGAATTGCTATGTTGTACACCTGAAACTTATACTGTACATCAATTATGCCTCAATAAATATTGATATTATTTGAATATATATAATACCCATATAGAAACAAATATATCTCTATAGATATATAAATATTATGCTGGGGATTTCAATAACCAGCAAGAAAGACATGATCCCTGCCTATACAAACTTTAGGATTGAGTGAAGATAAACAATAAAAGGAACAATTATAATAAAATGCAAAAAGTGCTATTGCATGAACGTTATAGGATAATATTACAAAATTGTTTTTCATTAAACAAAACCATCCATTACAGAACATGTCATTCTTTCTCTTTTTCCTTCCTTCCTTCCCTCGCTCCCTCTCCCTATTCCATTTTTTAGTTTAGAGGAGTAAGCATATGACCATCTGAGAAATCCAACACTCACTCGAGATTCTATTGTTTAAGGCATCTGAAATAGAACAATTATTGATTTCAAATGTCTACCTATTTAATAGCTTCTTACCTCGATTCAAAGCTATTAAATTTTGGTTACAAAAAATATTCATCTACCTGTTTAAATCACAGGTAGTATGACAAACAGTCGAACACTGCAAACTATTTGTAACAAAGTGAAATGGAGTAAACTTTATAGACTTAATTGCTATATCCAAGTTAATGTAATTCTAACAGTAAAAAGTGTCAATAAAACTGCTAAATGTTATTAACTTATATTCAGTAGCCTCTTGTGACACAACTCCTGTCATTTTCTATTTTCCTTTTCATTATGAGTATGAGGAGAAAAACAAAAGTCTCTTTAAATGTTTTTTCCAAGTCTGGAAAAAACCAGGGAAAACAATAACCCATTGTTCAAAAGGGGTACATGAAGTGAGGGAGATGTGTAGAAATGCTTTATTAGTACATTAAGTGTGTGCTAGAAAGAATGAGTCACTCCCATCTGGGTGGAAGCAAAGAGGAAAGAGGACACACAGTGGCATGAAGGCCCCACGAGTCTGGTTTCAGTAACACGCACCCAGGCGAGAGACAGGAACAAGCTGCGTTCATGCGGTCCTGTTAGTAAAGAGGTAAACTGGGCTACAAAGATGAAAAACCGAGTAAAGCAGCTGAAAATCTTCAGCATCAAGGGGATTTTTTTCTCAGTGCTGTCAGACTTCAAAGCAACAGCAGGAAAAACTGGCCAATCCTTAAAGAAGTTTGTACAAAGATCCTCATGCTCTGAGACTGAGGAAGCGGGCAAACTGAAGCCAGGTGAAAAAATTCACAATGACAATAAAAAATGACTGAGGAAGGTGTTAAGAGACATTTTTCTTCTTTAATTCTCGTGCTAAATGGCATTTCATTACCAGAAATTCACATTTAATTTGCTTCATGTTTATACTCCTGTCTTAATGATGAATATACATTATAGATAATGTTGAGATAATATGATTTCAACTCCTAATTCTTCAGTGATCACTCTAGAGAGAATACACAACTACTTATATACTTCAGATACATTTCGATGTCCAGGGGAGTTTATACAGAATTGAAGGCATAAGGTCTCTGGACACAATAACCAATCTCAGTTTGCAATTTGCCACACTCAACTCTAGCTTAAACATAAATTCAACATGTTTTAACTTAATTCATCCGGCCAGGTTTAGAAATTTTCTTCTATCTTTGCCTTTTCTTGAGAGCACAGAATTTCCCCCCTTTTTTTTCATCCTGAGTTTACTTTGAATAACTTAAACTATTTATCCTTTTTCGGAAAATAAAAATAATACTTATAATTAATATTTGTGATAGAAATCACTCTGTTTTACTCCAGAAATAGCACAACCAGATGGTGACTTGGAAGTATTACTAGTTTGAATAACATCATTGCTGTTCTAGAAATCTTAGGAGCCTCTTACTTTTAATATTGCACCTGCCCTTGGTAATTTTTTTTAAAAAGAATTCTCTGCAACACACAGTGAATAGACTGTAGAATAGAGTGACCACAGAGCAATGCATAAAGGGGCTGAGTATAAGTCAATAATAGCGGGTGTCAGTCTGCAAGACTTGCTGTCTCCAGGGCCATCTGCCTCTCATCTCCCACTCATGGCTGTTATGTTGGAATGTCTAGTGAGACCTGACCTTCAAATTGTTTCAGAGAAGCCAGAGTTCTGGATTTTATGTAAAGCATGAATAGTTTGAAGTGCTGACTGAAAGTTTTTAAATGCATCCAACAAGCAAAAGAGATCAGATCTAGATTCTCCTTTTAGTTTAAGATCTCTGTGGTTTCCAAGTATTTCTACATGTCAGTTGAATCATCTTCTCACCAGTTATGAGAAGGGTACTAGGTTAGCTGGGGAAAGAAAGAAAAGAGATGAGGAAGAGGCAGATGGACTGAAATAATAGGAGACATACAAATAAGCAAATGCAAGTCTTGAAGTAAAGAGCTGGTGTGGTAGAAATCAAGACTTGGGTTACCTGGCAGGGTTAAGGGTTGTGATCATATAGTAAAAGGGTAGTTTTTCACGCAGGTTTCCTGGAGAGGAATCGGACACTTCTGAAAATTATGTGTTGTGTGCCAGCCTAGGAAGTTCATCCTTTAGTCTTGGAGATGGAATAAGGGAGGAAAATTGCTTGTTAAATTACCCCTGAAACTCAATGTCTTTCTTCCTTAGAAATGTGGAAGTTAAATTGTTATTAGGGCATCTGGGACTATATATAATCAACTTAGTACCTCACGTTTTTAATTTTCCTTTGGGATTTTTAAATACTTCTCCATGGAAGAGCAAGAGAACCTTGCCTTTTTTCCCCCCATGAATATAATTAAAAGAGACAGGCTTGCAAAGACCTACTGATGGGTCACACTGGGCCCTGCCAAAGCATAGGATCAGGATATGAACAAATCCTATTAATTATAGCAATCAATGATTCCTGCAGAGACTAAGGCTTACGATTAGAGGTTCTCAAAAACTTTTGAGGCCACTGGAGAGACTGTAAAATAGAATCAAAGAGATCAGCACCCATTCAAACAAACACTTGCTTGATATTGGGCAATTTCTAACTTTTTATAGATAGGCCAGGCCCCACTTGACAGTTCTGTGAAATTTAGTTCCACAGAATTTCATCAGGGCCTTTGATAGAATATCCATGTCCTTCATTATAAACATGTATTTCTTGTCTATTACAAGGTTCCTCCTTAACTTCACAGATCTGTCAGTGGATCTGACAGAAAGAGGAAACTTGGATACCACACATGGAATTAACAAAAGTGGCACATGAACGAACCAGCATTTAAAGGGTGTTGTTCCTTTAAAGAGCTGCTGGATTCATTTAGGTAATCATCTTCTGATGAATGCACTTGCTAGCACAATCTTCTGCTTATCAAGGAGTTATAAATCAGAACTGGAAAAGACATCTGGAAACATCTGGCCCCTTCCAAAGCAATAACATTCCAATGTATTTCCTGACATACTACACAGACTCTTCCTATCATATGGTGTCACTCTTACACATCAAAAGTTCTCAAGAGGAGGTTCTGATTTGACTTTTTACATTATATTTTCCCTAAAAGAGCAATCAAATAGCTAGACATGCACATTTCCCTTTTATAATCAATTCTCATGCTATATTCTAATTATTTGTTTAGATGTCTGTCTCCTCACTGGGTTACCATTTCAAGAAATTAAAAATGTATTCATTTCTTTAACCCCCACATGAAGATGAATATATGTTCTGGGGCTCTATCCTGTAGAAACAAGGGTACTAATGGGTGAGAAGCTATGTATAAGAAGATATATTGCAGTGTTGTTAAAATGAGAGTGAATTTGAACTAAGCTGAATGGCCATCAACTCAGGAATAATATTAATGGAAAAAGTTACTATGACTCTCTGTGATGGAGCATCACTTAGCTTTGAAAAAGAATGAGCTTGAGCTGCATCAGTTGACTTGGAGGGGATGTCCATGACGTACTGACAGATGAGAAACTCAACTGACAAACAAAAGTACGGAGTGTGATTTCAAATTGTAAAAATAAATGACACCCTGTGAAAAACAGGTGTTTATATCTGTGAAGGAACAATCGCTAGGGGTTACCTTGAGGATGATGAGAAAGTATAAGAGAAAGAGTGTGGAAGGAGATAAAAATAGTTTAACAAAATGCAAAAATATGCCATAATGCTAAGGGAAAAGGCAGAATGTATTTTATAGTAATAATATATTAAAAAGAAACATTTACCTTTATTGATGTCTTACTGATTGGTATCAGGCACAATTCTTAAGGCATCACATAGACTATTTCAGTCGAAGCCTCCACCAACACTGTGAGATCGGGATTATTTTCTCGTCCCACAGATGAGGAAACTGTAGCCCAGAGAAGTTTATAAACTGACCCATGGTCACACAGTAAATAGCAAAGCTGAGGAAATCCCCAGTGGCTCAATGGTCAAGAATCTGCCTGCAATGCAGGAGACAAAGGAGACAAGGGTTCAGTCCCTGGGCCAGGAAGATCCTCTGGAGAAGGGCACGACACCCCAGTCCAGTGTTCTTGCCAGGAAAGTCCTATGGATGGAGCAGCCTCCCAGTCCTATGGACAAGAGTCCACCGCATGTCACGCAGCGGGCACGACTGAGGGCTGACCACAGCGCTGAGCACAGAGGAAAAGTGATAGCAGACAGAGAGGCAAAAAAAGGGAACTGCGTTTCCCCTACAAATTAGCCTGGTTAGATGACAATAACCAGTTTAATGAAGTGATACAACTGTGAGTTGTTTTGTTTTAAATATTTGTTATTATTTATTATTGCCCTGCCGCGCTTAGTTACTCAGTCGTGTCCGACTCTTTGCAACCTCATGTACCCGCCAGCCTTCTCTGTCCATGGGGATTCTCCAGGCAAGAATAATTTTAAATAAAGTGAAATCATTAAAAATAAAAGGAAGAAATGGGCAGGATGGTGGCTTTTAAAACAAGTCCTCAAACACTTTGCCATCCCTCTCTGAGAGAAGAGCTCCATGTTTCTGCCCTTTGAATGTGAGTGGGGCTATGACAGCTCTCATCAACCCCGTAGCAGAAGGGGGTTGTGTGTCTTTGATGGCTGGATCAAAAAAGGTGGCACAGCTTCCTCCTGGCTTCCTGTTTTGGGATTCTTGCTCTGAGGAATGCTAGCCACCAAGCTGTGAGTCCTACTTGGAGAGAAACAAAGGCCCCTGCCAACAGGCACAATCCACTGCCGGATTTCAGGTGGTTCCAGCCTCAGAACCTTAGAACCTTCCAGCAGTGGCCCCAGACATGGCCAAGCAAAGATAAACCACAAGCTATGTCCTGTCCGGATGTCTAACTTCCAGAATCCTCCATGAGCGTAAAAAATGGTTGGATTTCACGGTTGTTACTACTGTTGTTATTGCTTGGTTTGGGGTGGTTTTTTCTTTTTTTTTTCTCAGAAATTATATAATAACAATTTTCTTGTCTAACTCAATGAAAGTAAGTCATGCCATGTGGGGCCACCCAAGATGGATGGGCCATGGTGGAGAGGTCTGACAGAATGTGGTCCACTGGAGAAGGGAAGGGCAAACCACTTCAGTATTCTTGCCTTGAGAACCCCATGAACAGCATGAAAAGGCAAAAAGATAGGCCACTGAAAGATGAACTCCCCAGGTCGGTAGGTGCCCAATATGCTACTGGAGATCAGTGGAGAAATAACTCCAGAAAGAATGAAGAGATGGAGCTAAAGCAAAAACAACACCCAGTTGTGGATGGGACTGGTGATAGAAGCAACCAATGCTATAAAAGAGCAATACTGATAGGTACCTGGAATGTTAGGTCCATGAATCAAGCCAAACAGGAGATGACAAGAGTGAACATCGACATTCTAGGAATCAGTGCACTAAGATGGACTGGAATGGGTGAATTTAACTCAGATGACCATGATATCTACTACTGTAGGCAGGAATCCCTTCGAAGAAATGGAGTAGCCATCATGGTCAACAAAAGAGTCCGAAATGCAGTACTTGGATGCAATCTCAAAAACGACAGAATGATCTCTGTTCGTTTCCAAGGCCAACCATTCAGTATCACGGTAATCCAAGTCTATGCCCTGACCAGTAACGCTGAAGAAGCTGAACAGTTCTATGAAGACCTACAAGACCTTCTAGAACTAACACCCAAAAAAGAT